TAACGTTTCTGTCTCCATGCCTGCTCTGAACTTGTGTTAGCTCGCCAGCAACTCGCTACTCGGCGCCGCGCGTTTACATACCTCGGTGTTTCTCTGGCGTCAGTAAAAGTGCTTCCTCAATGCATGCTCTGGATCTGTGTTAGCTCGCCAGCAACTCGCTACTCGGCGCCGCGCGTTTACATACCTCGGTGTTTTCTCTGGCGTCAGCAAAAGTGGAGGGTCCAGCCCACGTCCTGATGTGTATCGGCGTCATCCTGGACACCCGCCGCGCTAACATCAGTATGCCTATGGACGAACTTGCCGAGCTTCGTGATCTCCTTCGGGCCACTCTTCACACAGCTTCAACTACCCAATGTCAACTCGAGTCTCTTCTGGGAAAGCTCCCGTTTGCTACAAGAGTGATAGCCCCTGGATGCAAATTGCAGATTGTGGTCACTTGCCAACTGGTACCGGCAGCCGTGTTACCTGATCAAGCTCTCCAAAGAGTGCCTCAAAGATCTTTGCTGATGGCCTGAGCTCCTGGATTAGCGGAACGGCCGGTCCTTCTTCCTATACCCTAAATGGACGCCGTCCCCCGACTTGCTGGTATTCACTGATGCAAGTGGTGCACTTGGCCGGTGCTCGTACAATTGCGACCGGGGATAGGGCGATGGACAGTCAATCAAGCAGAGCAGCAATCGCAAAGGGTTGTTTGCAATTGTGGCAGCCCGCAGCACCTGGGAAAACTAGCGGCATCAGCTGCGAATGCCAATCGATGGGCATTTACAGCAACTGCGAGGATATTGCTCATCAGTTGTGGCTTTGGCCTGGCGTTGTACACCGGCCACTCGTTTCGAATCAGCTGCGGGACTCGATATTCAGAGAGGCGGGAAGGTGGAAAGCGATGTCTGCCCGAGTAACATTCGGACGCCACCTGCAGCCAAAGTATGGGTGGCTGCGGCAATGGCCTCAGCCCATGATATCAAGTTCTGACAGTCTTTACCTAGCTTGCACCGCTTACAGATTGCACGGGTAGCTGCACTTTGTGACCCGCTCCGGGAGTGCCGATTTATGGAATATATGCTCTCAACTGGTTATGCATACCAATATATTTAGCATTTGGAGGCTCTACTCAGAGTCATTGGCGGCTCCATGCGGAGTCATTGGCGGCTCCATGCGGAGTCATTGGCGGCTCCATGCGGAGTCAATTTGGGGCTCCATGCGGGGTCATTCGGCGGCTCCATGCGGGGTCATTCGGCGGCTCCATGCAGAGTCATTCGGCGGCTCCATGCGAAGTCATTCGGTGGCCCCATGCGGAGTCATTTGCCGGCTCCAAGCAGAGTCATTTGCCGGCTCAGCTGCGAGCCATCTAGTGGCTCCAAGCAGAGCCATCATACCAGTTGCTCGAATCGGCACTCCCAGCTTAATCCAAAACTCGGTTGCTCTGTTGTGAGGTGGGGGGATGCTAACCTAGGAATGGGTTTGCTCCCCACACTGGAGCTAGCGCTATTCCGTCGACTTGACACTTGACGGACTCACGACTGCCATCCAGAGTCGCCACCACTATTTCTAAACCATACGGCTAATTATTTTAGTTAGCTATCCACTTACCGGTACAGTAAAACCTGTGACTACCGACCACCCCTTGGTGCCAGCAAAAGCGGTCTTTAGTAGCAGGTGGTCTTTAGTTAGAGGTTTGCACCGCGTGACCATATGTGGATCCCATTATATGATATGTATGTCAAAATGCAGCTAATACGATTCCCCAGGACTTGCGTAATGTCAGAAAGACGGAGAGATGGAGAGAGAGAGAGAGAGAGAGAGAAGATTAATTTTTTGCAGACTTCAAATTCAGCTGCTACTTCTGAAGCCAGGAGTCAAACGTTCCCTGGGGAAGTTTCGTTTCGCGCTGGGCTTCAAATTTGTTCATGCGATCAATCATACCGACTGTCCTTGTTGTGACTTCTGGATTGCTTGAACGCGATCCTTCAGCATCAGGACCTTGTGGTGCTGCTTTGTTTCTGGATTCCTTGATGCCATCGTCAATCCGTCTGTATGACTGGTGTGACAGAGCCGCCCAGTCTTCGTTTCTCCTCCGAGTAGTAACATCGATCAGAGAGCGCTTTCGATGCGCTCTCCAAGACGTTTCCTATCATGTTTTTTCTTGACAGCGCTTGAAATTTTGACAGGTGTAGTGCAGTCCACACCGACTCCACAGCCAAAATTACCTGCATTCATTTGTTCAGCTGTAGTATCGAAAGATTCTTTTCAGGACCATGGAAAATCAGTAAAATTTCAAGAAGGAGCTTCGAGCAACATTTGATTTCCTACATCGCGGTCGCTAGTTACGGGTCAAAAATTGTGTTTGGGACAGGAAAAGGCGGTCGCTGGTCGCGTTCAGAAGGTAGTCGCTAGTCACAGTGCATTTTGAATGTGAGACCTTCCGTACCTGGCGAAGTGGTCGGTAGTACCAGGCTGGTCGCTAGTGACGGCGGTCTTTAGTTACAGGTTTTACTGTATATCCCTTACCGAAATTGTATTCTTGAACGCAATATTCTTCTTTCTTTTTCTTCTACTCCGTTCCATCAGCACTCGGCCGATGGCAGGAGATTGGTACCCACTGGGCTAGCATGCAGCAGCCAAAGCTGGGGCCTTTTCTTACTCCGTCAAACCCACTTCTTAAAACGAAACTGACGTGCATATTCACATTGCATGTTGTGAATGTCCCCATATTTGCCCCGACATCTTAGCTCGTACAGCGCTCCAGATACATCTATGCTACGGTGCGCACCGCATACTCGAATTACGGTACGGGACACATACGGGATACTGCACCAACCATGGCATGCCACGTGAACCACCCTACCAGACACCGTGACACGCACCGAATTACAGCGGTGCGGATACTGGCTAGCGCCAGATGCTACTAAAGTACAACTGAATAGCGTCTTTTGCATAGCTACGGGAATAATCTCATATCCCAAGTATTGCAGCTCTGCTAATAGAATAATTCTGGTTACTCCCACTCCATTTCTCTACTGCTTATTTTTCTGAAAAAATATCATCTTTGGCACCAGAATGCTGCCACCAAGAGTACATTAACCAGAGTGTGCAGCCCAAAGAGAATCATCCCACGGCAAAGTTTATTGTTTAGGGCATAGACTCGCAGTAACAGGCTCACCTTTGCTGCATCTCACACCGCTTCACACGGTCATCTACTCTATCACCATGGTAATTTCTGTTGCACATTGCTGCTTGTTTAACAAAAACGTAGAAAACACACGGAATTTCCAGGTAATTACCATGGTGATACGGTACTTTAGCTTGAACCTATTGTATGACGGGTTTTCTATGATTGATAATGACCCAGAGAGAAACTAAACCGGTATCGAATTCCAGTCAGCGACGCAATTCTTCTGAGGTGTAAAGTGACTTCAGGAATATGTTGCAGAAAACTGCGATGCATGCTGATTATTTACTGTGCCCTATTGTGCACAATATACCAGGTGTGTTACTCAGGGATGAAGTAGATGCACACACGTGCCGGGCATCACGGCACAGGTTAGGTTTGCTAGGCTACTAGCCGCTGCAGTGTACTTGTGGTCCGAACTTGCACTCTACTCAACTCTGCATACGCAAAGAGTGCTGGTGCCGAAATGAACCAGAAGGGTACTGAGTGGGACGCAACAACACTGACTCTGTCTACCCATGTACACAGATATGATAGGGTATGCAGTACCTGCTCTAAGATTTAACACAAACCGGGTACACGTCTACCTGGCACAATTCCTGCAACACTGGGCCAGAGCCAGATGCGTTCAAGTGCGGCTACTGTGTGTCAGGGAGTCGTAAACTTACTTTCGACTTCCTGATGTACATGATTGTACATGTACATGTATGAACGTACTCGCATTGGGCACTCTGGCCGCACGCATCTGCACGCGTATGCAGCCTGTCAGTGGCGGTATACCCTCGAACGGTATACAAAAGTATAGTACTCGACAGGACTTCCGACCGGGTCGCAGGTAACCCAGTGTTCTTTTTCCAAAAGGTCCAAGTACTCACAAACAGGGCCACTGACCCGGCTCTGGAGCAGACACTGGTAATCTAGGTCCAAGTTTGCTCGATTATGTTCTGACGCTTCATGTGCTTTCATAGCCAAGGTTTCTCACTTTCTTCGCAGGCTCTTTTAGTCTTGAGAGTTGACAACTGCTTATGGTTGTGTTGGCAGAAAACATGTCAGCTAATCTGACAACCGTCCAACCCCATTTTACTGGTAAGTAGTCAGCGAGTGGCTTTGATGGGGCCATACAGTACTAGAGGGGAAGTTACGCGGCATATTTGTGCTTCCTTTTTGAAAACACGTTCTCGCTCGAAGGGTTTCTAAACTTTATCCCTGCGCTCATTGATGGAGTTCATCGATGGAGTTGCCAGCGGCACTCTACAGAAGAACAATGTTGTCAAGTGTTTTATGAAAAATTGTCAAACATTTTCAAATTGCTATAAGTTTGGTTAGGGCCGGGTTCCACTGCGGCTCCGCAGCTCCACGGTACTTGGCTGCATGCAGCAGAGCGGCGCGGTTCCAGTGACACTCGCCATTCACGGTACCGCGATCGTGCTCGACGTTTTTTTTATGACATTTAGCCTGCCTGCGCGCGCGTGAAATCCAAAAAAAATCCTCGTGTTCTGGCCTGTGCAACGAATTAAAATTCCCCCGAATAAAACAATTAAGTGCGGGAAACAATGCAAGCCGTGACCGCGGCTTGCATTTTTTTGTATCAAGCAGCGAAGCGAAAGCTGGTGATGAGCCGCGGCCTCGCTGGACCAGCTCGTAATGATGACGTTTCATGCCGTGGATGATGTGCGGCGTAGCGGCAGTGGAACCCAGCCCTTAGGCAAAGGAAATTTGTCATTAATTTGTTTATGCTGCATAGATGGAGAGCTGCACACTCTGGCTTATGGACTCTCGCCTACAGTGTAGTCGTACTGCTAGTGTACTGGCATTACAGAAGACACGAAAAACGAGAACATAATTATGGCGAGAAAGTAATTACTGGCTAAGAATTGCCCTAAGACTTACCGCTTCTCAGTGCTCCATACCAGGAAGTAGTACACTACCTACTCCCTGCTCCATACGAGTGTTCTCTCCTCATTCTCTGCATCCTTTACCTCAGGAGTCTCGTCCATTTAGCGGCTCAAATGCTTGAGCTCCGGATAGCGGAAAATAGCTCGTCGTCCATTAGCGGCTCTAATAGTACCTGGTCTGAAGTGTCGCAGTCTAGCACAACTATGATTTTTTCCAGGAGGGTAAGGGTTGCAAACCCAAAGAGACCCTAAGCTTCGTCTATCAAACAAAACAATTGCCCTAAAAAATGGAAGAGGAAAAGAGTGAGCGAGCTGGTCTGAGCGCGCTACTTTTCAAAAAATAGAAGCTGAAAGCCATCAAAGTCAAAGCATTCTGGCTAGCGCGTTTGTGTATGTCACGAGCGCTAGCGCGCTAGTCGCAGCAAACGCTCGCAGGCCAGAGTTAGCGCTATTTGGGCTGTTTGCCGCACGCGGCAGCTGGATGGATCACGTGATCCAAGCTGACAAATAAGGTCCGATGGTTCAGCTACATTGAGCCACAAGCGTTGGGAACATTGCCTATCGTCTTCAGCGTCGTGTTTCCATTCAGAAACAGTTGAGTTCTTGTTCACCAGGGTTTGCGCATAGCTGCGCAAGGAGGAAATATGGACGTAGATAGTGAGGAGAAGGGCTTGAGGCGGAGGAGAAAGATGCGTCGTCGTCCTACCTGAGCCAGCTTTCAAAGCGTGCTGAAAGCCAATGTTTGACCCTGTTGTGCTTGAACGGCTACTGATGTTTACGAACAATCAAACGGCACAGTGGCTACAGGAGAAATCCGCCGATGAGAGGGACACTTTGATCGACGCATCCAGGCGCGCTGCACCAAAATTCTGTGAGAATCTCGAGGCTCGCCAGCAGACAATTCATGACTGCTGTATGGAGCAAGTGAAGGAGAAGGTGGCAGGTAGCACACGCAAGAAAGAACAACATCAAAAGAAAAAGGAGACTTTGACGGAGATCACGGCTGTAGGTGGACTCTGGATCTCGAAGGAGGCAGCACAGGAGCAGCTCTCAAAAATGTTCTGTGTCACTGACGAACGCCTTGCTCTCAATTCGCAGCTTCACTTCTGCAAGTTTGTTCTGCTGCAGAAGGTCCAAAGTAATTTAGTTTGCACTTTCTACTGGTACAAAGGAGCTGCCAATAGAGAAACTGGTTTCCAACATCGAACCTCTGTTTGAAGTGGCGTTAACGTGTGCATGTGCGTTGTGTATGCAGAAATTCCGCTTTCAATTCATTTTGCGTATGCTATCTCGGTGTGCTTACCTTCTGAGTGCCAGAAGAATGTCTTTTATAGCATTTAGCAGCAGCAGTGGCCTGCTGGTGAACTCTATGTCGATATTAGCTAATTTCACAGCAAACCGAAGCTGTTACTATGGGGTTGCCATGGGTTACTATGGGTTGCTATGGGGTTGCTATGGTGATTGTGGTAACAATTGCCGTATTCTGGACTATTGTGAACTTTGATCAGTATTTTGTTCATCCATAAACACTTGTTGGTGTTTGTGAGAGCCGTGTGTTCGAAAATGCCACTCTGAAGTTTTGTAACTATATCCACTGATAACACTTTGGGGATGCTGTTGGTACCACAAATTGTATTGTTTTCGCCTTATGCAGTTGCCTCTCTTCAAACCTTCATATCTCACTTGTGTCTTTGTGGATTTCAATGAAATTTTGTGTGTGACCTTGTGATATCCACCACTGTCGATTTACGATGCTAAACCTGGGAGAAACCCGACTGGAAAAAACCGGCTGAAGTGCCTACTGTCACCGTCTAGGGATTGAGTTCAATCTTGTACACACCATTCAACAGCTTGCAAGGCTGATGAATTGACCGCCACTATTTTTAGCCTGGTATCCACCAAACAGCTGTAAAAATAGCTTCTAGTACTAAGTAGTTGTTAGTCGGCAGCTCGTACACTAACTGTCAAGTGACAGGATAAACGACTCTAGGTAAAATAAAATATATACGTCAAAGTTTAGCCGTCAATCCCAGGGAGCGGGTTGTTCGGCAATAATGTACCCCTGCATTCCCTCAGGCATTCTCCTAGCTGGTCTATGGGCACCCATCCCACTCTCATGGGAGGCACAGGTCAGATCACAGTGCACAGTAAATTCCTAATTTGTTTAATTATTTTAAAATATATAAAGATATATATTTTATTTTACCTGGAGTCGTTTGGGGAACACTGCTCGTGGTAGGCTCACAGTATTCTCATTCTCTCTCTCTCTCTCTCTCTCTCTCTCTCTCTCTCTCTCTCTCTCTGTCTCTCTCTCTCTCTCTCTCTCTCTCTCTGTCTCTCTTTCCTCTCTCTCTCTCGCCCTCTCTCTATCTCTCTCTCTCTCTTTTCTCTCTCTCTCTCTCTCCCTCTCTCTCTCTCTCTCTCTCTCTCTCTCTC